AACATCTGTCCGAGATTCAAGCAGTGCCACTTTTCTGTCTGGTTGCCAATACTTGAACAAGCCTGTTAGTGTCATGCCACGGAGAAACTCCCAGCGCTGTGCAATGGCATAGCGATCTCCTTCCAAGATGGATGAATTTCCTCTGTTGGAGCAGTTGGAAGATTCCGATCTGCAGGATCAGTCAGGATTCAGGATCTGCCAGTCTCTCAGTTGCTAAGCTATTAGTCCGTATCTTACGCTGTCTTGGAAAACGAAGGTTGAAGCGACTCCAGGTGGGCACGTGGTCGCAATTCACAAGTGTGTTATGTAATCAGTGACAATCAGCTATTGATCCACACCATCGCTAACTGATGGTGATGTTGTTAATTTGGTTCGTGACTGACACAATGTGGCCGGACGACGTCCTTTATTTCAAAAGTTAGTACTGTCTGTGGTCAGCACATGACTGAAGCAATCGTTTACCATTTTCCGTACGTACCGACTGCAATCCATTTCGATCACCTAATTGAGTCTCACGTGCGCTAAGCTTGACCGCTTGTATATTCAGATCTTCAGCAACCACGCCATCTGAGCTTTTAGCTAGCTTAAGCAGGGCATTCTAAATGTCGTAAAACTTGTCTTTGATGATGTCACAGCTGCTGTCGGTTGGGGTGCAAGTAGACACAACAAACAGACAGCGGTTAACTTCCTCCTTCTGGGACCCCTTCACGGAAGTGGCCTAACGGACCGCACTGAGGAGACTATCAACGGGTATCCAGTGAAGCAAGGATCTTTCCGCCCGACAACTTATGACGATACTGACCCCTGCATATCCTGCTTCAGCGGCCTCTAGATCACCAGAGGCTTGTAGCCGCAAGCTAGTTGAGAGTGATGGGCGGTTCGCTTACCCGTCTTGCTGTATACAGCAAGAAATGCGACCCGGCTGATGGTACCACGCAACGACCGATGTGGCATGGCATTGTTGTTAATTGTGGTCATCACGGTTGTACGTGGGCTAGAACACTGTTTGGCTGCCCACACCTAGACGGGGGTACGATTAGAGTCCTTGAACAAAACATTAGGTTGACTGCAACACCTCAGTGTTTGGCGGGAGATGCAGATGCATCACTATCTTTAAGAAACAAATCGCACTTAATTTTCCAACCTATAACTTGGAGGGCCACGAGACCCGCGTTAGTGAGACCTCTAATCCTTGACCGACCCGGTATGAAAGACTACAAGTGTCGCACAGGCCTACGAACAGTCACACCACGGCAAGGTTTCAGTCTCTGGTTAAAAACTGCAATTTTCAATTTTACACTTCTTAAGTGGACATAGTGGCTTCACAAGGCAAAGGAATTCCAGCTAATCAGTTATGTCTTCTTCTTTTGCCTATTTTTGATTCGTGGGAATAAAGTACACCACGATAATGTGGTACCTTATGGTAACCCAGAGGAGTGGTTCAAACTACCCATATCATTTCGGTTGCCCATTCGGTCAGTGCATGGGCGTCCTAACAGTATTTCAGTCCCCGTGCTTCCTACGGGTCGTGTGCCAGCGATATACTGAAAGACCACCGTGACGATAGGAATAAACACAAATTAATAGAGAACAGGGTAATAACTGTTCTTTGTATCAATACTCGAGGTTTGTGTATGGATAAAAATGGAACGCAATGTACGATCAGCTGCTTATTAATGGATTTACGGATGTATTTAATTCTTTCGAGCTGAGCCATTCTTGAAGAATGGTCATAGTTAAATTTGTCTTAACTGGTACAATCACTTTACTTCCACAGTGCTTGTATGCTTGACTGTAATCCCACAGTGGAACTGGTGTTTCCTAAGATAATCTGGCTTTATCCGCTCATTCCATTGACACCTAAAAATGAAAATAATGCACCCGATGTCTGTTGTTATAAAAGAACGATCCGTTTCACTCATTACTACTGTCTCTCGTTCAATGGTTAATATAAAAATGGTCCTACAATAATTTATCGGATTTTTCCTTTTGTCGCAATTTCCCACAGTTTCTGTGAGACATCCAGACTTTCCGGATTCTCTTATAAACGGAGTCCTGTTTCATGCGCGCTATTTGGGCAGTACACAGCTGTTGTCTGAACGACAACCGACACGGAATTCGCGAATGTACCAGGCCCAGGAAGCAGTCAATCGGGTCAAAGTAAGCACGTAGTTTTTTTTGCTAAGCTGGTTGTACTTTTGCTGTTTGACTGTCGAGAATAACAAAAGACAGAACTATCCATTTACAACGCTTTTTCAGGTCCCGATTGCCATAAGCAGTCACCAGTACCGCTTTGAATTTCTCATGTATTTCCGCCTTGGTAGCCAAATAGAAATATGAATGTTTTAGCGATTTTGGTAACCCGAAGGTGAGAGAATGTTTTCGTCTCCTGTCACAATAGCTGATCACCTTTGCGTGGCTTAACCTTGAGTCCTGAGCCGCCAAAAGTTTCTAGCCACGTCGGTTAGCATTTACTAGCCATTTACCTCAAAACCATATATCCATCAACCCAAAGCACCTACGCTTCGCTTTGAGGACTTTCGAACCAGCCTGTACAGTTTAGCCGAACATCGCTATCACTTCTGAAATTGAGAATTACAGTCAAGTCGCATTATTTAGATTTGGTGATGAAGGCCAATTTCTTTCTCATGTCGTCATTAATTCGTTGCATGCTTATTTCCGAATGCGCTATTTCGGACGTACTCCACTTCTGAGTAGCAAGTTNGATAGGTATGCGTGTCAAGTGGATCGAGTTCAATGCTTCTTGAAAATTCAGGACTGCTAAAATTGTGGATTGTTTATACATATGGCTTTGTTTTAGTACGTGATGGAGTGTGAAGATTTGGTCAACGCAACCCCCCACCAGCACGGAATCCCGCTTGCTGCTCCCGAATCTGTTTCACGAGCCACCACAAGGCGACGAAGGACAGGTGACGTCTAGAGTCTAGTTACGACTGGGGTCAAGCTAACCCACCGTGATTGCGGCACCCACCACTTGCGTCTTTTTAATTGGCACTACTGCCAATTCTCTCCCGGTGTAGGAAACAATCCCCTTTTCCAAAATACAGGCAACCAGATCAGGCAATTGATGACTGAGGACAGTGCTCCCATCTCTAAAGAATTCGAGTGAGCTTTTCGGACCAAGAGCTCGGTGGCGCTTGAAGGAGCATATGTAGTCACAAATCTCCGAATCAGGGGTTCGAGGTTCACCGTACTTCAGTTATTTGACCCAAATGATTGGCAGAGGCGGGGCACTAGATTTGTTCGTCATTGGCCCAGCGATAGAATTGTTATCATTTATTTAACACGGTCGTGCCACTTTGACCCTAGATGGTTCCGCTTGCAAGCGGTTCTCGGCTACTAGTCTTGCGGATCAAGTGACACAATCTTCAGGCATTCCCACCTTTCTGGGTCTCCCATTTCCTTAGCCTTCTGTGTCCACCAGGCTTCACGGTCGGCGTGCACGCTCACTTCCACTTGACTTCTAATAAATCGTCGGGCCAAATTATGTTCGGGACCCGCGGTAACATCTGTCCGAGATTCAAGCAGTGCCAATTTTCTGTCTGGTTGCCAATACTTGAACCTGTTAGTGCCATGCCACGGAGAAACTCCCAGCCACAGAGAAACTTCCTCCATCTGTGACCCCTTCACGGAAGTGGCCTAACGGACCGCACTGAGGAGACTATCAACGGGTATCCAGTCAAGCAAGGTCCTTCCACCCGGCAACTTATGACGATACTAACCCCTGCATATCCTGCTTCAGCGGCCTCTAGATCACCAGAGGTGTGTATCCGCAAGCTAGTTGAGAGTGACGGGGCGGTTCGCTAACGCGCCTCGCTGTGTACAGCAAGACATGCGACCCGGCTGATGGTACCACGCAACGACATGGCATTATTGTTAATCGTGGTCATCACGGTTGTACGTGGGCTAGAACACTGCTTGGGTGTCCAGACCTAGACGGGGGTACGATTAGAGTCCTCGAACAAAACATTCGGCTGACTGCAACACCGTAATGTTTGGCGGGAGATGCAGATGCATCACTATCTTAAAGAAACAAATCGCACTGAATTTTCTAACCCATAACTTGGAGGGCCAGGAGACCCGCGTTAGTGAGACCTCTAATCATTGACCGACCCGGTATGAAAGACTACAAGTGTTCTCGTTCGATGGTTAATACAAAAATGGCCCCACAATAATTTATCAGATTTTTCCTTTCGTCGCAATTTCCCACAGTTTCTGTGAGACATCCAGACTTTCCGGATTCTCTTATAAACGGAGTCCTGTTTCATGCGCGCTATTTGGGCAGTACACAGCTGTTGTCTGAACGACAACCGACACGGAATTCGCGAATGTACCAGGCCCAGGAAGCAGTCAATCGGGTCAAAGTAAGCACGTAGTTTTTTTTGCTAAGCTGGTTGTACTTTTGCTGTTTGACTGTCGAGAATAACAAAAGACAGAACTATCCATTTACAACGCTTTTTCAGGTGCCGATTGCCATAAGCAGTCGCCAGTACCGCTTTGAATTTCTCATATATTTCCGCCTTGGTAGCCAAATAGAAATATGAATGTTTTAGCGATTTCGGTAACCCGAAAGTGAGAGAATGTTTTCGTCTCCTGTCACATTAGTTGATCACCTTTGCGTGGCTTAACCTTGAGTCCTGAGCCGCCAAAAGTTTCAGCCACGTCGGTTAGCATTTACTAGCCATTTACCTCAAAACATCCATCAACCCAAAGCACGCTTTGAGGAATTTCGAACCAGCCTGTACAGTGTAGCCGAACATCGCTATCTCTTCTGAAATTGAGGATTACAGTCAAGTCACATTATTTAGATTTGGTGATGAAGGCTAATTTCTTTCTCATGTCGTCATTAAATCGTTGCATGCTTATTTCCGAAAGCGCTATTTCGGACGTACTCCACTTCTGAGTAGCAAGTTAACGGATGTCCGGGTTTTCAGTGGCTGACCGCCTGTTTATTGTAAGAGCTAAACTCGATAACAGAAATGCATCTAATAGAGCAACCGTTGGTGTTTTTCGCACTACTCAGACAACGCCTGAAGCACCGTTGGAAGCGCCTAAACACTGTTAAGGGACAATGTAACTCTTACTAACGCTTGTGTCAGCTTGCAATTGTTTTCGCTCTCTCTACATAGTCCAGTCATAGAAAAAAATCGTTCAGCTGTAGCACCCTTTCGGTGCCTAACTGCCATGCCACCCGAAGGTTGCACGAGGGCTGGGATAGTGCCAGGTCGTCCAAGCCTAGACAGGGAAAGTCGAGAGTCAGAGGTCGGGTTCGAACCACGGACCTTCCGGTCATTAAATTCGCGCTCTAACCACTTGGGCCATCTCGCCCCATCTCGTCATAGCTTGAACGCTGATCCTGCAATTTATGTTCAAGCCCAACAGTCGGCTGTTTGTTACAATCGGGTACTCCTATAGGTGTACGTAGACGGCTTCTCAATGGTTTCAGAGCTACAGCACACACTACCCAGGGAGGGGGCAACCTGTACGGATAGACAAAAATTGCTTTCCCCAGAGCAGATCAAATGTAGGGCACAACGTGCCGTCAAACGTAACTGTTTCCCATCTAGCGCTCAAATATTACTCCATGTTTGTTTTGGCATTTACTCCTTCTTTGCACCGTGTCCACCACTGCTAAATTCAACCCAGATTTCTGGTCCTTTCGATTGATTTTCGTTGTGTGCGCCGAAAATAGAATACCTGACAACATGCGACTGCTTTTGAGGTTTTCACCAGTTTTTCCTACAAAACTATCACATCAGTAGCACGCTTCGTTGTAAGTTGTACTGTGATCAGCTACTGCTTCCACACTATTGATTTTGGCCAGTCCGTTTTAGAAGGACGAAGTTTACCGTGCTGCTGTTGGTATTTGTCGGTTTCAGATTTCGCGCAGCTCGGACGGCAGTGTTTGTGTGTATATACAACCTGCGGCCGTTTGTATTTACGATATCAAGATAGTAGGTTACTCGTTCAAGAGCCATGACTTTTTACTTCAGCAATCATCTGAGTAGTTGTGGAACCTTTTGAGTTCGCATTCATTCTACTCGTTTGGATAGCCTTCCTATTATCCTTATTCGATCATTCCGGTGAGTTCACAGCAGACAGAAAAGCAGTGGGCTGTAATCTCGCTTATCAACAATGCCTGCCGTTGGCCCAATCAGCACCTGAATTCCGGACTTCTGACACCTAAGGTGATGGCAAGCTGACGACTCAGAAGCTGTCCTGGCTGTGTTAATCGAGTGACCCGCTTGTCAAGACATCCACGTCAAGTGGCGTTGGAGGCGTTCAGAACTAGTCGGACATTTTCTTTTATCGCTTATAGGATTTGTTGAGTCCCAGCTCCCTTCATTGTGGACCTTCCGGGCTCACTGCACCAGGGATGGATGAGGGCGAGTTATGCTAATAAGAAACTGATTAGTTGTTCCGGATGCCTTCTCCAGGAAATTTCGCTGTGATTATTTACGAATACAGATGCCATATCAGGCTGTTGAAGCTTACGTAGAAGACAAACAAGCGGTACTGTTCCAACCACGAGTTCCAAATAACGCAGTGTTTGAGGCACGAACCTACTGACCGTGGCTCAAACCCATCCCCATCATTTCGGCAGCTTTTATTTAGGCTTGGGCAACTTAGCAAAATCTCAACCCGTGTGCTTCCTTCGGCTGGAGTAGCAACTAGGAAAAGAAGGGGTGTTACAGCTGAACAATTCTTTTATTTGTCTAACCACGATCATCTTGACCACAGGCTTGGAAGGTGGGCTCTGAACTATCTGGACTTCACGCACTTACATAACAGCACCTGTAAGGAATGAAATCACCGTGCCTCACCCTCCACATCTTCGTATACTGTCTGGTTATAGCTGCCAGAATTTCACTCATCGATGGTCTGGTGAGATAGGCGTAGGGGGATATGCATTGGAGGTAGTAGCCGATGTAATTGATGCGTAAATTCAGGAACGTCAGTGGACTGTTCATTGGAGCGATCGGGAGTGGAAGCTATGCATTAAAGACAACAAATTGGGTGCATGTGGGCGATTGCGGTTTAATGCGCGACTGGGCAATACCTGCCACTTTCCCTAACTATTGACGTGTCCCGTCTGAAAGTCCACATTCACGGAGACAGCAATGAACCCTGCAGCTGAG